TTTTGGGGCTAGGTATTTGCATCAGTTGATGTAGTCATGTCTTTGACACGCTATAGGGACGATCGTTCTCCCTGGTGATGACACCACCGCGAAATTCCATTTTTGTTCGAAGTTCTAAAGAAACCTGTAGCTCAAGACACAAAACGTGCATTCTGCAATGGCTATGCCCCGGGTTCGAGTCCCACTGAGACCAGATCTTTTTCGGGCGCTATTGTTAACAACTACTAGTAGACCTCTTGTTCATATTGTAGAAATTTTCTTAAAACTAATAATCCTATTTAAAAGCACCTACAGAATCGAGCGTCGGCGATCGATCACATCTCTAGAAAATAGGTATTTTTATGCATCGCGTGTGACCTTCAAGCGTCCAAGACGACACTTGCTTGATGACGTACTACTAGTACGCCATCGTGCTGAGCTTACCTGGCGCTTGCGCTTCGGCTCTCCGTGACTATCATGTCACCACTACGGTGGAGCCTGCGCACTCGATTCATCCTCCTAAGCGTACGATTCGTAAGCTTAGGAGGACGTACAGTAGTACCGGACGACCCCGGAACCTGGCTACACGACCACCACCGCCGCTCGAGCGGCCACGGCATATGCTCGCCAAATAACGCATACAACCCACACCCACCCATCCTGCATAACCAACTCCTGTTACCTCAACTCTACTCTCGTAGCATGGTACGGCAACAGCTACCTTGCAATCACCACCAGCTCCACTGTCGAGATCAGGAGTAGACATAGTACAATAATGAACCCCAGTCACGGCCTCTGGAGCCCCAGCAGTCACAACTACCGTTCCCCGGCAAAGACCACTACCATCACTTTGACTATCGTTATTCTGGAGCGTGGGTGGTGGGGTGGTGGTGGTACTGACTAGCAGTCAGAGTGATTACCACTACCACCCCACCCCTACGCTCCAGAATAATGCCCAAAAACCCTGCTAACGTTACCCCAGTGACTACGATTGCTGCACATGTGACCACCCCATCACTCCATTGTACAGTACATGCAGTACATCATCACGACTAGCCATGTCATATCGACTCTGTGTTTCCTCTAAATCGACCACCAACGGCCACCAATTTTTCACACTACTTTGTTCACTAGAAGGGTACTTGGTGGCATGGTGATGATATGCGCAGCGCTTTTGACCACCGGCACTGCGCATCTCACCACCACTCCATCAAATACACTTCTAAGTTGTTTGAAAACGGATTACCAAGTGTGGCAGTGATTGTTGATTGCAAGGAAGCTTGGGAGGATGGCTGATGCTAAGAGGAACAACCAATTCACTCATCTCCTCATGCTACGTGTTTATTTGTAGTGATTACGTACACAAGTGATGCAAAGTGGGGTTTTCAGCCAAGTTAATAATCCTGTATACCACCACCAACTCGTCCATCGCATAACACGATACCCTTTTGGGCAGGTGAGTGATACGATGCACAAGTATGTCAGCCTCAGTGTATTAATGTCCAATCAAAACCATAACGTCATTGATTGGATAAAATAATGAACTTGCATTACGATTTCCAACCTAAAGTCAACGAAGGCCATTACTGAATCTACCAATGCAACTTTATATTTAACCAATCAAACAAATTTTTCTACACTCGCGGCACACCACCTCGGAAATGTTGTCATGTGGTTTATAGCACGGCAACGCTGCCTTCACGCTGCCAGTTGGTGAGCTGGCTGCCTCGGTTGCTGTCGACAAAAAAGTCGCCTTGGTCAAAGTCGCGTTCTTTTTCTTCTGACATGTTGCGTCTATTGCGGATCGCAAACATGATGACGGCGGCGACGGCGGCGACCCCGACGGCACCTCCAAGGATCCCACCGACGATGGAGCCCGTGTTGTCGGACGTATCTCCGGACGAAGTGCTGACAAGGGTGTCCTTGTCAGCGTTGCCACTCGCGGGGGCTTTGGCCCCCGCAGCAGGGGACGCCACCGCTCCGTTCACACTCGAGGGCAAGCTTGACAAAGATTCTGACTCGTCCGTGGGCAGCTCGCCTGTCGCTTCTGCGTCCACCGAATAAATGACAGACGCCGTGCTGTTGATGGTGGTGTTGAGCAAATGCTCCACCGTGGTGACGTTGGTCGAGTTGTACACATCGATCGTGGTGGTGGGTTCGGGGGGAGGAGGGGTCGTGGTGACGACGGGTGTGGTGGGGGGTGCGGTGGTAGGGGGCGCGGTCGTGGGGGGGGCGGTGGTCGGGGCTTCAGTGGTCGGGGCAGCAGTGGTGGGTGCGGGGGTGCTGGGGGCGGCGGTGGTTGGCGCGGGGGTGGCCGGCGCCGGGGCCACGTCAAACTTCCACGTGGCGCCGTCTGCCGACAGCCCAAAATGGCACTCATCGCCGTGCTTGACACTCACGTCGTGAAACTGAAAGTAGTATGGGCACTCGCCCCCATTGGATTTCTTCCACTCCTGGTAGTCCAAAAAGTACTTTTTCGCTTTGTCAAACGTGGCTTTGTAGTTGCCCTCCGACGGCCACCCAGTTTCGGTCAGGTGCACGCGACCGGGGTACTTGGACGCGACCTCGTTGAATCGGGTGTTCAATTGGTCGATGTTGGCATCAGTCGAGTACGGGTACACGTTGATGCCGATCACGTCGCAGGCGGCGGCCAGGTCTTCGTTGGACGAGCTCTTCATCGTGGCGTCCGTCTCGACGGTCCCGACAGGCACGTTGAGGCCCGCGGCTTTGAGCGCCGACTTGGTGGCCCAAATGCGCGATATGAGAGTCGCCTTGGAGAAGCCGGAAACCAAGTCTTCGTTTCCCACGTATACTTGTTGACAAGTTCCCGGGTTTCGCTTGATGCCGTCGACAAGAGCCTCGAGATCCCGTTTGAAAAATTCGTCTCCCATGCGATTCCACAGCCCGCACGCCATGCCAAGACCTGCCTTGGCGCCGGCGTCAATGAGGTTTACGGAGCCGCGACTCGTGCCTTCCACCAAAGTTTGGTACGTTCGGACGTTGGAAAACTTGGACTTGATCACAGCAAAATGCTGGTCGGCGCTGCCAGCCTGATACGAATCGTATGCGACACCGGAGCACGCCCCGGCGCCAGTGGACGCCACGTGCGAGTCTAACGGGCCGTTCGACTGCGATCCGATCACGGCGGCTGTCGTGCCAAGGACCGCGACGGCGGCGACCCCACTGGCAATCTTCTTCTTGAGGGGAGAGAAGGTCCACTTGGATACGACAGGTCCCGAAGGCGTCGTGGGCGCAGCGAAGGCTTGCATGTCTGTTGTGACGATGAAAGCACGTTGCCAAATACTCACCCTTCAGCATCGCCGCAGCATTAGCTTCGCCATTTCTCTGGTTGCCGGCTGGCACTATGCAGTATCTGTGCGCATTACTCCCAGCTGGCAACGACGACCTCGACACCAGATCGAACATGATATCATGTACCTCAATTCTACCTGAATGATTCGTCGTAAACCTTACAGTACTAGTTTTATCATTTTATTTGTATGTAATACTCGTTCCACGACGACGTCATGCATCATATGATGATGCCCGTTTTGAATAATGTGCCAGTCGTGACGATGGATCTACTAACGGTTGACTGTAAATTTGTATGCTTTTGTAGCCTCGTCGTCCAGTCAATGAGTTGGTAACGTGCACCCTATGCAATTATTTGATTGGCCGAAGCATGGGTAAGTACAGTGTAACCCCTTCACAAAGTGTCAAGCACCGCGAGTTATGGGAGTATACATGCATTTGTACGGTAATTACACGCTGGCAAGGGTTTTTTTTTTCACACGTTGTAATTTGAAATGGCAGTGATAGGGAAGCCGAAATCTCTGCGGATTGCTACCGAGGGACCTGCGTAGGGAGGAGACCATACCAAATTCACTGCACGTGGTTCCTATACTGTTATCAGATGGGTGGAAGAGATGTTGAATTGTGCATGTCGTCTGGTTTACAGTTAACAAATGGAAGAATTCCGTCATATCTACAGTTCCACTCTTGCCTACATAATCATTTCGCTTCACAGGCAACCCCATACAATTCCCTCATTATGTAAAACAGTTCCACTGTTGTTTTGACCCGAAATACTGTTTCAATGACATTTATATGGAACTTTGTATACTCAGACCACCTCACTTCTTACCAGGGGTTAACTGCATCGCTAGTGGTTAGCTATCGCTAACCACTGAGATGCACGGAGATTTAGCATCGTATATACTCACCGGGGGTAGGACAGAGTCCCAGGTTACAGGGCTACTGGAGAAAAGGTGTATCCGGATGTATTAATTCCCTCATTGATAGCTGTCACGGCGGTGAAACAGTATTTCGGGTCAAAACAACAGTGGAACGGTTTTAATGGCTAGCTATCACTAACCACTGTGATGCACTTAACCACTAGTAGGAGGTGAGGTGGTCTGAGCATACAAAGTTCCACATAAACCTCATTGAAAGAGTATTTCGGGTCATAACAAGAGTGGCACTGTTTTAATGAGGAAATTGTACACCGCGGAGTCCCCGGATTATCGGGTACTTGTGTTGCCACTCCGTGGGTAAATTGCATACCAGTGTTGCCACTATTAATAAGTGCATTTCAGTGGTTAGCTATCACTAATGCACTTACGGTAACCCGAGGTTCTAATGAATAAAATAAGTGAAATGATAATGTGACCAACAGTGCAACTGTTGCTCTCAGGGAATTAGTCGGTGCATATTGGACTTTGTTTGGCATTCGGTTCAAAATTAATTTTCCAATTGGTATTACCTACAGTGTTAGTAAATGACACTCCGAGCCTCAAAAGTGCAAACAAGCGGAAGTAAGCAGTACGACAGGAACCACGGATTGTCAATGGAGGCGAGTTGTTGTGTGCGGTGAGTGTGCGCGCGAAGAACGCTTCCCTTCTCGGGGAATAATTTACCTGCATTTACTTGTGGATTGAAAAGAGCAATCAAGCGTAAGAAGTACTCGAAGTAGTAACGTAATCGACCAAATTTCAGGACATATGTACAAATTATGGTCTATCTGAAACAGCCAACCAATTCCTCCAAATGTAGTTTTTAACCTAACCGCCGAAAACAAATGCAAATTGGTACGTAGTACTACTGTACTAGTAGTACTACTACTGTAGTTAACTGTAAGAGCGCGTCTGGCGGTAACCTGTACTACTGTAGTAAGCATCTCCACCGCACCTCTAAATTGGGTTCCGTTATAATCCTCGATGTGTGTTTTGTGTGTGATTTTGTGTACTGACTGTATAACCCACTTGTACAAATATGTAAAACTGCCCTTTATATCCAGGCCTCCAATCGTTAAGTAACTTCGAGTGTTTTCAACGAATTTGGAGAGACCATCACCTCTCCTGGTTATTTCTGATAATTCTGGATGCAAATGCTTCGTCTGGTACAGTAACCGGAAATATTGCAATATCCAGGCCCAAAACGCCATTTTGGGACCGAATTCAACAAAGCTGATCAAAACTGAAATAAAATACCTTATGTACAGTCCGAAATGAAATTATAGACGCACCCTAAATTTTTCCAGTTTGAAAGGAGTACCGTACTATTTTGTGGATCACTATCTCTCAGTTCACTTGAATCTGTTACAAATCTTGGTCCGCAAAAGGATTTGGGCACAGTCTAAATCATTCTCAAGAAATCTACAATTTTCAAAAAATTGACTGAAAAGAAATTATAGACGCACTTTTTCATTAACATCTACTACCTCCATCCGAAAATAAGTGATTGATTTGGGAAATTCGTCATATTTCAAAGAGTTTTGTCAATTTTTTCGAGGAAAATGTATCAGCTGGCTCGGGAAATCAAGCACTATCTTCGAGGACTGAATACGCTTATATCAGAGCTCAAATGCCTATTTAATTCGCAGTGA